CAGGCCTGTAGGGGAGGGCAGTTAGGGGTGACCAGGCCAGCAGGGGAGGGCAGTTGGGGGTGACCAGGCTTGCAGGGGAGGACAGTTAGGGGTGACCAGGCCTGCAGGGGAGGGCAGTGAGGGGCAATTGGGCTGACAGGGGAGCAGTTAGGCATCGATCAGGCTGGCAGGGGAGTGGTTAGGGAGTGATCAGGCTGGCAGGCAAAGCAGTTAGGGGCAATCAGGCAGGTAGGCGAGCGGTTGGGAGCCAGCAGTCCTGGATTGTGAGAGGGCAGTCAGACATCCCTCAAGGGGTTCCAGATTGGAGAGGGTGCAGGCTTGGCTGAGGGACACCCCCCATGCATGAATTTCATGCACCGGGCCTCTAGTTTTATTTATAAAATCTGTATTTTGTAAATAAGTACAGGTATGAAGTTTTAAAAGTCAAGCAGTTCTATTAAGGTTTATCATTAAAAACTATATTCCCTGTTCTACATTTTTTGCTCTTTCAAGACATCCACTTTCACAACTTTTAACTGTTTCTTCTATTGACATCTATATTTCTAAATAAGTGACATTTATTTTTAAATGATTATTTATTGACATTGATGCGGGAAACAGATTTGATTCTATCACACCTCTGCCCTCAACACCCATGCAAGTATTTTCTTTCTTTATTCTTCCAATACATTTATCTCATATATATATGATAATATGTGCTGATATATGTGAGAATATACTGAGGATGTATATGACAATATATAAAATGTCGTATATATTTATATATATTAAATTACTATTTTTTGTTTATCCACAGTGTAATCATATAGTGTAATGTGCTTATTTTATTCTCATCCTTGAACAATTTTTTTTCACTGCAGTTTAATAATTGCTTCTTTTTATTGCCATTTTTATAGGAACCTATTCCCACACTGTCAGAGATGTAAATCTCTTCTCAATATATTCAAATAAAATCAAGTAAGATCTTAGTTCAAGGTCCCTAAAACAGAACCTGAGAAAGAGAATTGGATGCATTTAACTTATTGGGTAAGCATACTCAGGAGAAGAGGAGTGAGAGAAACCCTGGTCTGGGATAGGAAATAAGCAAGGATGTACTAGCAGTCTTTCAACTGGGGTTTAGCTTTTGTCTGATCCCAAGGGGGAGAGCCAGGGCAACAATAGCTCTGAGGAGACAGTTACTGGCCTTGTAGGGCAGGGGTGTGGAGTTTATAACCATCTATTCCTTAGCCAGGACATTTTCCCAGGTGAAGAGATGGATGGATGCCCTAAGCATCTATTACCTGGAGGATGAGGTCACTGGCCCCATAAAGTGGATTGGGACATGGTACAACATCCAATATATGTGCACTCTCACTTTCTCCTTTCTCCCTCCCTCCTTCCCTCTTTTCTCTCTCTGTCTTGGGGACACTTGTTTCTGAGTATCCAAATATAAGGATATGTAGGTTTTTCTCTTGTGATGACCAGGTTCTCTAGAGAGCAATCTAGTCCTTGCCTGAGGTATCTATTCTTTATTTTCAGCATTCTTGGGGCCAATGAGAGGGAATAGTCTAATTGGTCATATTCTGTAGCACATAGGCATTCATGTATGTGTTATGTTTGTTCTGCTCTTCTGCTTATGACCTTGAGCCCAGTCCTCTGTCAGGAGATAAAGAGGCAATAAAGGGGTCGAAACTCTGGGAGTCAAATTGCTTCTTAGATAGACTTTGAACAAATGCTTCTGTTTGTAGTCCTACTCTACAAAAGGATCTGGTTTCACCTACCTCAACCATTCCAGGGTTTTGTGACACAAAAGTTTTGTCATTTTCTACCTTCCCACTGAATGCTGGCTTCGCTTTTCACATTCCCTGGTCTGTGTAGTACGTTGTAATGTGTCTTCCTGCTTTTGAGCTATAAAATTCCTTTGATTT